CCAAAATGTATTATGCTACATTTCTTTGATAACAATAACCTAAATCAGTGTTTATTATTTAATCTGTAGGAAAGTTACACAAACTCTGGTGTGTGTATATACAGTGGGGATCGAAAGTTTGGGCACCCCAGCTAAAAAAAATTTTGTATTAATGTGCATAAAGAAGCCAAGGAAAGATGGAAAAAATCTCCAAAAGGCATCAAATTACAGATTAGACATTCTTATAATATGTCAACAAAAGTTAGATTTTATTTCCATCATTTACACTTTCAAAATAACAGAAAACAAAAAAATAGCGTCTGCAAAGGTTTGGGCACCCTGCAGAATTTATAGCATGCACTGCCCCCTTTGCCAAGCTGAGACCTGCCAGTGTCATGGATTGTTCTCAATCTTCGTCTGGGAAGACCAGGTGATGTCAATCTCAAAGGTTTTAAAGCTGATCATTTTAACCAGTTCCTGCCCGGCCTATAGTCAAATGACAGCCGCGCGAGACTTCTGTAGATCCGGGTGCACATCATATGACGTCCTCCCCAGAATGCGGCACAAGCTGTGCTGAGGCACGATCTGTCAGATCAGTGTACCGGCCCACTGCCGGTACCATGTGATCGCTGTGACCAATCACAGCAGATAATATGACAATTTTACACAATGGATGGTTTATATTCATTGTGTACTGCTGTGTTGATCTCTCTGATTGGTCACAGTGATCACATGGTACAGACAGGGCCAATCACAGTCCATCTGCACCATGTGATTAGCTGTGGCAAGTCACAGTTAATCACAATAGTAAACACTGAAATAATCAATTTCATTCAGTAGAAATGGTTGTTTGTAACAGTGATCACTGTTATAAGCAATCATGATGTGCAAAAAAAATCCTGATCATCTCCCCAGTGTAGTACAATTATACTGGTAACTTATTATAATGGTAACACTGTGTAGCCCTGGTCACAGTAAAAAAAAAAAAAAAAAAAAAAAAAACAGTAAAAAAAAAAAAAAAAAAAAATGTTATTTATGTTTTGTTTTTTACACATACTGGGCTCAATTCCCTAAAGAATATCTCATGAGATAATGAAATCCCGTGACACATATTTTCCAATTATCACATGCAATGCTCAAAATGTGAATTCACTATCACCTTATGAAGTATTTACCTCAAAAAGCAAAAAATGCTTGGTTCATGCCACTGGATATCATGTCACGAGATAAAATACTGAATGGTTTCATGAGATAAAAACATTTTGATGAAATAACTCATGCTTTATTTTAGTAGCATGACTAGCAAAACAATTTTTGAAAAACACTATGAGGTATTTTATCTTAAAATTTAAAGAGGAAAATAAATCTTTCTGAATGAAGCCCACTTTCACCAGTCAGTGTCCCTGACCACCGCCACACCTGTTATATAATGATGCTGTACTGCACTGGTGACAGTATGTAAAAAACAAAATTGTGAAAAAAACATTTTAAAAATGTCTTAATTTTCCAAAAAAACTGTGACAAAAAAATTATAACTTAAGAAAACTCGCCATGCCTTTTACTAAATACCTTGGACTGTCTACTTTCCCAGAAGAGGTCATTTGGGGGAATTTGTACTGTCCTGGCATTTTCAGGCCTCAAGAAATAAGGTCAGCCATCAGTACATCAGGATTGATCAATTCATATATATATTATTGGTGCACTGAAATGAAAATTCGTGTGCCGAAACGGAAACTTTAATATGCACTTGGCCAAAAACTTGCCCAAACTTTCGATCCCCACTGTATATATATATATATAATAAAACAATATATATAAAACACATCAATAACACAATTATCAATAAACATTATATATATATATATTAGGGATGCACTGAAATTCTGGTTGCCAAAACATTTCAGCCAAAAACACCCCTTTCAGCTGTCGGCCGAAATGAAAAAAAGCACAGACAAGACACTAATGCTGGTGTCAAAGCAGTCAGGGACACTGGCTCTGTTGACACTAGTGTGCCTTGATCAGAACTCTGGTGCTGGTGTATAATGGTGTGGCATCACTGCAATCAGGGACACTGGCTGGTGGCACTGGCCTGGTGACACAGACTGGTGTAGGCTCACATTGGTGCACTATAGGAGCCATGCACAAGTCACCGATTGCAGTGGATGTACAGGTACATCCTCACGCATCAGCAAAGCTCCCTTTCGGCTGTATATACATTATGTACATTGTCCAGATGGAAAGTGTTAAGCATGGCAGAAAATTGAGGATGCCAGTCCAGTTACATTTATTTGCCAGAAGTCACAGAGGTAGTCAATGAATTTCAGGGACTCACCAGTCCCCTTGCTAAAATATACCATATATATATACATAGGAATTTATCAATGAACAGGATAAAAAAACATTTATATAGCTATAATAAAAAAAAATGCATCACAGGTTCCTAAATTTACAAATAAAATATGATTATCACCATAATGGGAATAATATGTATAGTAAAAATTTAAAAATTATGCAAGAAATAGTCATATTATTACTAATAATATTAATAATAATAGATGAGAAAATAATAACATCGAAGTTTTCATGAAGTAATATAACCCTGTTATTTCTTGCAATATATAAAAATTGACATTAGTTGGCGGAGGCCTGCTATGCAGGTTGCTCACATTGATAGAACAGCCCTCTGGAACTTGTATTTCTGAACAGTAAGACTTGGCAGATAAGCAGAGTGTCTAGGACTATATTTCCCAGGAGAGGTAGCGTGTTGGCGGGGGCATATTAATATCAAAGCCAGGAGATTGGTCAGGAGAGTACGGAGGGAGATTGAAGGAGAAGGAGGTGTGCTGACGGCTTAAGCGCTGAACTAGGCTGCGGAGCCAGGATTGGAGAAAGAGAGCGGAAAGAACTCACTGACCGCCCTGCTTGCCACGCTGCTAAGCAGGCCACTCTGACAGCAGGAGACAGAGCGAGACGCCAAGTTTGAATCAGAGGGCCCGTGGACTGTCTCTATACATTGGGAAAGATGGATCGTAGCAATCCACCAAACCACATTGATTGGGCGAGAGATGCCCATGCATCTGATAGTTTGCCACCTCAGTTATCTGCTTGCACATAGTTGTGAACATTACATACAGTTGCTCCAGTTTGTGGCCTAGTTATACCAGCGTCATCGGAGTATATCTGCAGTACAGTTATCATTCAAGCTGACTACAGGACACAGATACAAATCATGATACAGCAGTGCCAACTAAATCAACAAGTCCAGTTCCCTCTCTGCAGACCAGGATTCCTACTGCTGTTCATCTTTTGCCTTTGACATACAGAGGGAGTTGTCTTTGTCCATTAAATTAAAAAAATGTGATGCGCTATCTCATCATAAATAGAACCATAAACTATGAAAGCATAAAGTGACAGTCCAAAAAAATTAACAGATAATAAACGTCCAATCCAGTATATGTTGCATTAACATCCAGCCATAATCAACACTGTGCTTGACTTGTGGCCCCACTCCCTACTCACCTTGACCTATTTTTAGGCCCACTCTGGGCCTGGTGGGAAGTGTCAGAATTGGCCTGGGGATCAAGTGGTTAACTAGTTGCTGACCGCAGATAGCCGAATGACAGCTGCACTGTGGCTGGACAGTTCTGGGAGGCTGTCATATGACGTCCTCCCAGAACGCGAACTCCTGCGCACCCCCCGGGTGCGCACCCGGCGATCTCTGTGATCGCTGTGTCCTATGGCCGCAGCTGATCACGTGATGTGGTAAAAGGCCAATCACAGCGGCCTTTTACCACGTGATCAGCCGTGTCCAATGATACGCTGATCACCGGGAAATGCAATCGCTGGTATTCAGCTGCACTTTCCTCACGCAGTCAGACCGTGAGGAAAGTACTGCCGAGAATGGCAGTTGTCAGAGCAGGGATTGGCACCGATCATCAGGGCACTGATCATCAGTGCCCTGATGATCGGTGCCCAGCAGTGCCACCCACCAGTTTCACCCACAAGTGCCCAGCAGTGCCGCCCACAAGTACCCAGCAGTGCCACCCACCTGTGCCCAACAGTGCCCTCCAGTGCCACCCACCAGTGCAGCCCAGCAGTGCTGCCTATCAGCGCCCACCAGTGCCAGCTCATCAGTGCCATCTATACGTGCCACCTATCAGTGCCCATCAGTGCTGCCTATCAGTGCAGCCTGATCAATGCACATCAGCGAAGGAGAAAAATGACCTGTTTGCAAAATTTTATAATAGAAACAAAGAAACTTTTTTTATTTTTTGCTCTTTTTTTGTTTATAGCACAAAAAATAAAACACCCAGTGGTGAGTAAATACAACCAAAAGAAAGCTCTATTTGTGAGAAACAAATGATAAAAATGTCATATGGGTACAGTGTTGCATGACTGTGTAATTGTCAAAGTGTGACAGTGCTGAATGCTGAAAATTGGCCTGGGCAGGAAGGGGGTATAAGTGCCCGGTAAGCATGTGGGTAATGGCAGTACTAACCAGGGGCGGACTGATCATTTGGAAACTCGGGCACTGCCCGAGGGCCGGGGGTCAGTAGGGGGCCCCATGAGATGACCCTGGTATCTTTTTCATAGGCTTTTTTGAGTTGGGGCAAGGACACAAGGGCCCCATGATCCCCTATTGCCCGGGGGCCCCGTGAGTTGTCAGTCCGCCCCGATACTAACAGAGTTCTGTGTCCAGAGCCATTTGAAAGCCCCCCAATAGGTCTGGAGAAAGGTGGAAGCAGGCCAGTCCATCGTGTGCTTTGAGGTGGAGTGCAGTGGAATGGAGTGTCGTGACTGTAGAAGAGGAATACACTGCACACACCACACACTACAGCCACCCCCGCTGCACTGGACCGGCTCAGCTGCCTCTCCTGCACCACCTATCGGTCATACTGGAAGCGGAAGCACGTGTGACAGAGCTGCGGCTCGGTATGCTCTCCCCGGGTCGTGTTTACCTTTCCTGGGGACACATGGACTGCTGCACCGATTAAACAGAACCCATCATCGTGTATAGGACTATGTCTCAGGACTCCTATCTCCCACCGGCCAAGAAGTTCAAGCCGGGAAGCCCTCTATCCAGCCACCTCCGGACAGGGGCCATGCAGCTCGGGCCCAGGAAACAGCCGGTGCCCATCGATCAGCAGCGGCGGAGTCTACCCATCTACCAGGCCCGAGCCCAGCTCATAGGGCAGCTCCGACAGCTGGACAACGCCGTCATCATTGGTGAGCCGGGTGGGGGGAGGCCGGGATGGATGCTGGGGCTCTGAATACCGGTGTCTGTGTCCTTCTATTGGGGGCACCGTTTAGTGTGTGTCTGTATACATCGTACACACATACTGGAGAGAGGAAGAAACCCTTTGTTTTATCTCCAGAGATGCATGCAATGAATATAAACACATTTATGCAGGCCATAGATGGGTACTTTATCGGCCAAAATTCACACTGTTAGTGGGGCAATGCCGTCAGCCGTTTTTCACAGATCTTCTCGTTTCTTTTTATCGGTCATGGTGGAAAATCCACGAAAACCGTCCGTTTTTCGTAAGCATTAGTGGCAGCATCCATGGCAGCAACAACCGATTTTTTTTTTTGTTTATCGGCTGACAAACGGCCCGTCTATGGCCAGCCTTACAATAGTCAAGATAATAATGCATAACACTTGAAAGAGAACATCAGCAGGATTTTTGTCTTCATTTTGGATAGAAAGGAAAGAAGTTTGAACCCTTGTCAGGTTGGGGTGCCTTACGGAGATTTCCCCCATAACCTTGTCACCGGGACAGAAGGTGAGGAGGAATTGATGGGTGTGATGATCTCTTGTTGGTAGAGGGGGTACACTCCCTGTCAGCTCAGTATTGCTGCTTTCTCATCACCTGGAATAAAATTGATGGGAGAGACCCCGGCCAAATGTCTTTAAGATTTGGGAAAGACCCCGGCCAAATGTCTTTAAGATTTGGGAGAGACCCCGGCCAAATGTCTTTAAGATTTGGGAGAGACCCCGGCCAAATGTCTTTAAGATTTGGGAGAGACCCCGGCCAAATGTCTTTAAGATTTGGGAGAGACCCCGGCCAAATGTCTTTAAGATTTGGGAGAGACCCCGGCCAAATGTCTTTAAGATTTGGGAGAGACCCCGGCCAAATGTCTTTAAGATTTGGGAGAGACCCCGGCCAAATGTCTTTAAGATTTGGGAGAGACCCCGGCCAAATGTCTTTAAGATTTGGGAGAGACCCCGGCCAAATGTCTTTAAGATTTGGGAGAGACCCCGGCCAAATGGGCAAATTCCGCTTTAAGGTCTTGCTCCCCGTTAAGGATTGGCACCTTTGGGGAGTAGGTACCCAATTTTGACAAGTACCCGCTCCCACTTATGCTGTGATCAGAAGTTCCACGTGACAGGTCCCAGAGGACTGCGGGCTATTCATAATGCACAGCTCCACGCACGCATGTGCAGTGGGCACCTGGCTATGAAGCCACAAACTTTCACAGCTGGGTGCTCACACATAAGATGCGGGCATCAGGGACACAGGACGGCCGGTGAACCCAACTGCGGTGAGGACACACTGGATCCTAGGAGAGGTGACTGACTGTTTTGTAAAAGTCAGTAGCTACAGTTTGTGTAGCTGCTAACTTCTATTTTTTTTTTTTTTTTTTTTTTACTAGGGACTGAATCTCTGCTTTAAGACTCGGGCCCACCCATTTCAAACCCCCCAAGGCTTTGGACCACCCATTCCAAACCCCTCAAGGCTTTGGACCACCCATTCCAAACCCCCAAAGGCTTTGGACCACCCATTCCAAACCCCCAAAAGCTTTGCACCACCCAGGCCAAAGCTCCTAACACTTGGGATCAATGAATCTGTCATTCTACTCTTGCGTCATAATATTTATCAGGAACCTGGATGATGGAAGCCCCCCCCCACCACCTTACTTCAATACTGCTTTGCCTTTCTGAGTCCTTTTTCTTCGCTTTTCTTCATATGCAGGCCATAGATGGGTCGTTTATCAGCCGAATTTTTGTTTGAATGAAAAATCAGCCGATTTTCACACCGTTGGTGGGGCAATGCCGTTGGCCACTTTTCGTGGATCTTCTCTTTTCTTTTTATCGGTCATGCTGGAAAATCCACAAAAAACGGTCGTTTTTCGTAAGCATTGGTGGCAGCATCCATGGCAGCAATGACCCATTTTTCGTTTATCGGCCGACAATTTTGGCCAATAAACGGCCCGTCTATGGCCAGCCTTTCTCAGATATTGTCCGCTGGCTGTTCCCAAGCTGACACAATTTTGCTGACAAAATTTTCTTGACCATTGTTAGTGTTTTTTTTTTTTTTTTTTTAATTACTTTTATAGTAACAACTGTGTTTGTACAGTGTTAACCTGTAAGCCCCATGTCCAGGTTTCATGGGGTTTCCAATAGTGGTGCACAGAAATGAAAATTCTGGTGCCGAAAATGAAAATTCTGTATGCACTTAACCGAAATGCGCAGTTTTTAAAAATGAATGTCTTTTTTTAAAAAAAAATACACTTTGATTAAAAAAAACAATATATACCCCAATTGTTTTAGAAAATATGGAAGAGGATGTTACGGCAAGTAAATAGATACCCGACATGGCACGCTTTAAAATTGCGCACGCTCGTGGAATGGCTTGAAACTGCAGTGCTTAAAAATCTGCATGGGTGATGCTTTAAAAATTTCTACAGGTTAGCAATGTAAAGTTACAGAGGAGGTCTAGTGCGAGAATTATTGCTCTTGCTCCGACGTTCGTGGCGATACCTCATGTGTGTGGTTTGAACACCATTGCCTACATATGCATTCACCACTATGTACGCACGTGAGGATGTGGGTACTCCAAGGGCATAGAGATGAGTGGAGGCCATCTTTCCTTCACTTATCTCTATGCCTATCATTCGGTGGTTTCTGAGAACTGAGCGGCTGCAAGGGGGCGGGGTTATTTTCGGCAGCTGTATTGGCCAACAGCCAATAGGGGTGTTTTTGGCTGAAGTGTTTCGGCCACCGAAATTTCGGTGCATCCTTAGTCTCCTATTGTATTTCATTGCATTATTACATTTGAACCTTTGTGACAACTTGGGGTTGTGGTCCCTTTATTCTCCTGTTTCGCCATATCGATTTTTTTGTCAAAATTTAAAATAAAAATATTGAAATGAAAAAACGATGGGAAAGAACCGTAATAAATATCCAACAGAGATTCAAACCCATCTTGGAGGGTTGAGCTTGAGCTACTTCTCTTATGATGAAAAATTTAGCAGAATTAAGCTGTTCTGTTCAACCTGCAGGCCAAGGGGGTGTCCAACTTGCAGCACAAGACAGCTATGAATGTTGCCCAACACAAAATCGTGAATTTACTTAAAAATTTTTATTTATTTTGGAGTTTTTTTTGTAAAAAATTTGTCTACACTTAGCGAACACATGCGGCCAAAGAATAATTTGACAGTGTCTCTTTACTGAACATTTATAAGTTTTTTTTTTTTTTTTTTTTTTTTTTTTTTTTTTTATCTTCCCAAAGAAAAATATCCCACTTCATAATTACACTTTACTCATTAGTTTTCAGTAGTACCTTTATTTGTGAGCAACTATTGTCAAGGATAAACCACACAAAGGGCACAATTAGAGCCAAACTATCTCATGAGCACCTTTGAAAATTCTTTGAGAATTGCTACTACATCCATCGAACCAGATATTGATGCATTCGTTTATCAAAAATCGTGTCAAATATTACACTGGTTTTATTTCGCTTTTTTTTAAAACGAAAATTATAAAAAAAAAAATGAAGTTTTATTGCTCAGGTACATTATCTATATCGGTGATCGTTAACTTGTGATCTGCTCTATATTTATTTTTTTTTATACCTGCTCATCAGCTATCCTTATTGTTAGTGCATTTTATGTGTGGCCCAAGACAATTCCTCTTGTGATGTGGCCAAGGAAAGTCAAAAGGTTGGACACCCCTGGGTTAGATCATGATATTGCTTGGAATGGGGTAGATGATGGTACTTCTTTGCTGAAGAATTGAATTGATGGCACTGCTTTGCTGAAAAGAGGTTGCTGATGGTACTGATCTATTGATGAACTGAGTTGCTGGTTGTGCCCTGCTGGAAAGTGATAGATTATGGTACTTCTCAGATAGGGGCATCAGATAGTATTGCTCTGTTGAACTGAGTTGATGGCATTGCTCTGCTGAAAAGGGGATGCTGATGGTACTAATCTTTTAAGAACTGAGTTGATGGTGCTGCCCTTCCGGAAAAGGGTAGATGATGGTGCTGCTCAGAAAGGAACAGCAGATAGAATTGAGTTGATGGCATTGCTCTGCTGGAAAGGGGTTGCTGATGGTACTGCCATGTACCAGAAATTTTCATTGCTTTTTTTCAGGAAGAATTTGAGACAAAAGGTACTGCTTAGGCATAAATAAAACTTCTAAATCTGCCCTGTGACATAACAAATCTTCACATTTTGGCGTAAGACCTACTTTAAAGGGAAAGCAAGACACCTGTGCGAGAAGCATTAAAGTGTTACTAAACCCACAACAGTAAAATCAGTCTGCAGGTGATCATCACGGGGCCAATCAGCACTGTTCAGACAGAGGGCCAGGGTCCTGCAGCCTCCTAAGACAATCAGAGGAGAATGAAAACTCCTCCTACAAGCTTTAATCAGTGCTCTGCTGGACACTGATAGAAGTCACAAGACTGCTCTAACTGCAGATGATAAAATGTATGTAGCAGTTTTTATATTTATTATATTTGCATGTTCATGTTCTGTGCACTGTAGGAAACCAGGTATAGTGAATGCCAGGTTCTGGGTTTAGTAACACTTTAAATAGGACCTTCAGGTCTACTATTGTGCAGCCCAGGAGTAGAAGGACAGCATCCTTTTGAGGTTATCCTCAGATCTTGCTGTATACTGTGTTGGATTCCCTTTGAATCATTTACTTTGAATCAGGTTTATGTATAGTTATTTTCTCACTGGTTATGTCTTTTTTTTAACAGGTGAGACTGGTTCTGGCAAAACAACTCAGGTTCCACAGTATCTTTATGAAGCCAGTATTGGGCGTCAAGGTATCATTGGGATAACCCAGCCCCGTCGAGTGGCTGCTATATCTCTAGCAACTAGAGTATCGGAAGAGAGAAAGTCTGAGCTTGGCAAACTGGTAAGCATTCTCACTCATTTGTAGTACTTGGGTTTATGAGGTTAATCAACCTGTAACTAGATTAAAGTTGTGTGCCTGCGTTCCTATGCTCTGCACCTGCTGTATACTCAGGGGTGTAGACATGTAAAAAAACTACTTGTCCAGAGGACTAAATTGGGGTCCCAATCTACTTGTCCTTCACGTCAATCTACTTGTCCAGATAAAAATGTTTTTAACCAAAACCGTATTTAATTAAGGATGACCATCCCTTCGCTCACCAATCATGCCTCTGACCATACTCCTGCTGAGCGTGGGGATGGTCAGAGGTGGCATGCGGAGCGTGGGGATGGTCAGAGGTGGCATGCAGAGCGTGGGGATGGTCAGAGGTGGCGGAGCGTGGGGATGGCCAGAGGTGGCATGCGGAGCGTGGGGATGGTCAGAGGTGGCATGCGGAGCGTGGGGATGGTCAGAGGTGGCATGCGGAGTGTGGGGATGGTCAGAGGTGGCATGCGGAGCGTGGGGATGGTCAGAGGTGGCACATTCAGCAGTCACAAAGTACAATGCAGTATGTGGTATGTGGCAGCTGGAGTAGATAAGTAGTAATAGGACAGAGTTTAATGTGTGTTGCCATTGATATGTCCTCTATGGTGGTCTGGGTCCTGAGGCTGCCCGCTGTTTGTGTGTTCTGCAGCAGAGTGTATGCTGATGGAGAGATACAAATTGAGAGGAGAGCGAGTGCTGAGGTGTGCGGGAAGGGTGGCTTGTCAGCGTGTCCAAGAAGGAGGAGGAGAGTAAGAGAAGTGAACTAAACAGGGCTGCCGAGCGGAGTGGATGGGCTGAGGGAGCTGCTGAGCTAGTGAGAGGCCGGTGGAGAGGGGACTGCCTACATTGGACAGCTGCATGGACGAGTGGAGAGCCTGCTAACTCTGGTGTAGCGTGAAGATCTGTTCATGCTTCACTGGTGTTCCGAAAAAAAAAAAAAGTAAATCCTGCTGTTTGCCCACAGCAGGGCTAAATGTAAAGAAAAACCACTTGCCCGACGCCCAGAACCGCATGTCCCAGGCATCAGGCGATATGAATTGCACATCCCTATCACTGTGATGGATGGCCTTCCTTCCTAACTACAGAATCCAGGTGCACTGGTTTTTAGTTCTTTAGAGGCTCTATGTGAGAAAAGGAAAGGAAATGTACATGCCCGTCAATGTAAGATGCATTTTGTTAACTTCATTTTAGCCACATATTTATTTTAATGTAAATGTATCAAAAAGTATTTTCTCTTACCTAAAATAATAAGAGGATTTGCAGAGAATTTTGTTTTATGCTGCTCTCTGCTTATTTCCTGTGTGGTGAATGAATTTGTTACCCAAAGGCCCACACTCCTTATAGAGAACAGTGTTTACTCCTTACATAGCATTTTACACTTGTTCCCCATTCAAAAAAAAAGTAGTGTTTACTCCACACTGCAACTGCATTTTATGCTTCATTCATAAAGTTCAGACCACATTGTGGAGCTTGTGATGTCCTGCAAACTGTTCTCTGCACAATGTTCCTGTGATTGAAGGACAGATCATATGACTGGTCTCTCCCTTTTTTGCTTCCTCACCACTATACTTTTTTTTTTATAGGTGGACCTCTGAATTTTTTCTGGTTAATAAACCAGCAGTATGGCTGTGATAAAACCTTTAATATTTTTTTTTAAATAATTTGTTATTGTAGGAGAGATTCTGAGATATTAAATGTTTTTTATGACATTTCTCAGGTTGGTTTTACTGTTCGTTTCGAAGATGTTACTTCAGAGGAGACAAAAATTAAATTCCTCACGGATGGCATGTTACTGCGTGAAGCAATTGGAGATCCACTTCTGCGCAAGTATAGTGTCATCATCCTGGATGAAGCTCATGAAAGGACAGTGCACACTGATGTACTGTTTGGGGTGGTTAAAATGGCACAAAAGAAGAGGAAGGAGCTTGGGAAATTGCCATTAAAAGTAAGTTTCTGATTGAAAAAGATGAACTCTATAAAATTCTAAAGAGTACAGTGAATGCACTTGTGTGTTCATTGAAAAATAATTAGTACTTGAAGTTGGCCTTCAGTAGTCCACTGTACATGAGACTGGAAGAGGAAGGGTCAGTACAAATAGTTAATCAGGCAATGTTGTAGTGCACATGTATTGACAGGAAACATGCTGACAGTTGGAGAGTGCAAACAAATGGCAGTTTACACTGTTTTTGCTCCTTCATTGACATTTTTGCACACAGAGGTTGATTAAACTCAGCAGCATTACAAGTATGTTTGTTTAGATGCTTACCTGGAATATCTAATATTTGTGTGCGAAATCAAGCTGTACATGAATATGCTACATAAAGTCAGACAAGACTTTCAAACAGCCTTTTACCCTGAAAGCGCCAACTATTTTAAAATATTAATTGTGTTTCTGTCGTGATGTCATACCCAGAGAAATATTCAGTAAAATTCTGGATCATTGTGAGAAGAGAAATACATTTTTTTTTTTTTTTTTTTTTTTTTTTTTTTAATAAATCATTTTATATGCTTCATACAGACATGGATAAATCTGTTGGCACCCTTCCATGAAAAAGTAACCCTTCCACCAAAGTGATTAGAACCCATCATTGTTTATTCCATATTTAATAAATCAGTCTGTGCTTTTAATTCTACAGAATATTATAAATGGAGAAATGGAAAGGACATAAGTGATTTTTTTGTAACTCTCAGTGAGACTTCACCTGCTCCTGCCAACAGGTAGTTTGACTTGCTTTTTTCTTGATCAAACTGCTCCAGCTGTCTCAGGTTTGAAGGGTGCCTTCTCCAGAATACAATGACAATGCTTTCCATAGATGTTCAATAGGTTTTAAATCAAGGCTCCTAGAAAGCCATTTCAGAATAGTCCATTGTTTAATTCTTAGGCACTCATGGGTGTTCATTATCTTGTTGGAATGGTTGTTTATGACTGAGACAGAGCTCCTGAATTCCTTAATAGTCTTGAAATTTCATAGTGCCCTGCACAAATTCAGGGTACCCTGTGCCAGATACAGCAAATGTCCCCACAACATAACCAAGCCTCCCACCATGTTACACACTGGGTACAGCATTCTTTTCTTTAAAAGCTTCATTTTTTTTGTCTGAAAACGTTAAGCTGATGTGACTTGCCAAAAAGTTCCAGTTTAATCTCATTTGTCCAAAAGACATTCTTCCAGAAGCATTGTGGCTCGTCAGTATGCATTTTAGCAAATTCTAGTCTGACTTTTTTATGTTTTTGCTTTAAGTCCTCTTGGATCTTCTTCCTTTTAACCCCGCTGTCGCTCAAAATGCAACGGATGATGCAATCAGACACTGATGTACCTTGACCTAGGAGTTCAGCTTGAATCTCCTTTGAAGATCTTTCTGGCTTCTGTTCAATCTGGGGTTGATTTTTTTTTTTTGTGAAAGCACATACAGTGAAGTGGACTACGCTCCCATGGGCTTTAAACCTCTCAATAATATTTGCAACTGTAGTCACATGAACATCATGCTGCTTGGAGATGATCTCATGTCCTTTACCCTGGACATGTTGGTCTATAATTTTCTTTCTGATCTCCTCAGACAACTCTCTCCTTTCTCTGATCTGTCTAGTGTGCAGCACACAATGTTGTCAAACAACAGACTGACTATTTTCCTCCATTTTTAACTGCTTTCCGTCTGCCCTATATCAGAAATACTGCTGCAGGGTGGCACAGGTGCGCAAAATCACGTGTGTGTGTGTGTGTGTGTGTGTGTATATGTGTGTGTATATATATATATATATATATATATATATATATATATATATATATATATATATATATAATATTTTTATTTATTTATTGATTTTTTTTGCGGCCTCGGCTGTCAATCACCGGGTCCCGGCCGATGATTACTTTACAGCACCTGGTGATCGCCGAGTATTACCGACGGGGGCAGAGAACTATATGTAAACAATACAGTTCTCTTCTCTGTCAACTCCTGCACACTGCTTTGTATGGCTCTGCATACAATGTGAAACAGCACACCGTTAACCCTTTGATTGCCCCAGATGTTAACCCCTTCCTGCCCAGTGCCATTAGTACAGTGTCAGTGCTTTTAATTTACACTGATTACTGTATTGGTGTCCCCTAGTGATGTCAGTGACATCGTAAGTCCTCCAGAAACCCTGTCGCAGTCCCGCTAAATGTCGCTGATCGCTGCCATTACTAGTAAAAAATAAATTTTAAAAACCAATATATACACCACCATTTGTAAACCCTATAACTTTCACGTAAACCAATTAATTTACACGTATTGGGATTTTTGTTAGCAAAGACATGTAGCAGAATGCATTTTAGCCAAAATTTATGATGAAATTAGATTTTTTAAACATTTTCTTACTGGACATGTTTATGAGCAGGAAGTCAAAAATATTCGTTTTCTCAAAATTGTAGGTCCTATATATATATATATATATATATCTATAAAAATGCACAGGCGATCAAATGCCACTGAAAGAAAGCTCTATTTGTGGGGGTAAAAAAGGACGTAAATTTAATTTTGGTGCAGCGCTGCATGACCGTGTAATTGTCAGTTAAAATAAGGCAGCGTCGTATCGCAAAAAATGGTCTGGTCAGGGACGGGATTAAATCTTCTGGAAGGCAAGTGGTCAAACTGACTGATTGCAGTTAATTAGCAATAGCAATAATATTTGCAGAAACCGGTTAGTTTGCAACAGGGTGGATTTGATTTAAATCACTAGTCAGTAAGGCTTGATTTAAATCCTAGTTTTTCTACATAAAGACTAATTCTTGCTGGTATAACTTTAATATGAAAAGTTGTTATTCTAAAAATCTTCATCTACTTGCATATTAGTTTTTTTTATCCCCGGTTTAATAGGTTAATCATTCATATTTGGACAACTCTTCTGTTGTACTTAGGAAGGAGAAAAATAATCATTCCCTTAATAATAACAATTTAAATAGATTTATTCCACTGAAACAATAACATTCCAGCATATGGTATTTGCTTAAACAAACATCCATGTTTAACTAATTTTACTAAACAAAATATATATATTTTAAGAAACTTAGACTGTCAGCCCCTTCCTCCTCACACTTAGTTTCACTTTCTTCTTCTTGTGCAGATCTATTCCACTCCAAACAATCAGAAAAATATTGTTTCTATTCTATTCACTGAACTTCTTGAAACTTAGCACTGAAGGGGTTGATTCTGTATTCATAGGTTTGTAGAAGTTAGGATTAAGGTCTTTTTCTTAACTCTGTTCATGTTATAACATTTTTGCTGTGAAGAAGAGGCATGTGATCTCCGCTGAGTCAAATTCAGTTTGAGAACTGCAAAAGTAAACCAAGCATCTGTGATCATATCTTGTAGGCAGAGAAACTGCCCAATAATCTTACAAAAACCTCCTGGAAGAGCATGACATTGTGAATGGATTCATGGAATTTATTTACCAAAAAAATTAAACATATACAGCCTTATTCTACATAATTAAAAAACTAATCTTTATTTCATGATGGAATAACCTTTGGATGGTAATATATTTTCCTCAAAAAGCATTTTATTTTAAAAAAAAAATCAGATTTTAAATAAAAAAAATACGATTTTAAATAAAAAAAAATACGATTTTTTTTTTTTTTTTAATTTTTTTTTTTAAATCATTGATTTTTATCCACCCTGGTTCGCAATAAATCTATGATCCAATTAATTGTAATCTTTTCTAGGAGTACCCACAAATCTAGCCAGGCCATTTATAATATCTTTGTAGAATAAGCAATAAGTTATCTCTCTTTTCATACTTGATTTGTTTGACAGCCTTTCTCAACCTTTTTACCCCAGAGAGACCATTTTAAATAATTTAGCTTTCGGAAAAACCCTGCTAAAACCAATTCATTAGTGGGTCAGTAGGAAAAATCCCCCTTACATTGGTTGGCCTGTGGGAAGAATGCCCTCCATTACAATGGTGGTCAGAAAGTCACCCTTTATAGATAGCTGAAAAGATCGTTGGCTATGACTAATGACCCTGGAACTATTCAGGCACCATCAAATAGGAGGTCAATCATTCACAGCTCAAGAAACCCGGAGCAACTTTTAAAAGAACCCCAGGGTTCCATGGAAACCTGGTTGAGAATGATTGTTCTGTGACATACAAAAGACATGCAGGTTTACATTAGACAAGATCATCAACCAAAACCTGCGCCAAATTAAAATCACCATCCAATGCTACTGCTCCTTGTTGACCAATAGTCAAACAATAAAATGTGTAAAAAAGCGCAAAAACTTCATCATATAAATATAAATAATAATAGTGTCTAAATCAAAACACAGCACAAAAAACTTAATATAAATAAAAAAATATTGTGTCCAAATCAAAAACAATAAAAAGAGTCCCAATCCAAAAAATTAAAAATATTCCACATCCAATGTGCTCCAAAAGAATTAGTGATGGAGCTCATGCAAAAGAAACTTCAGTGTATTGACACCCTCCGTGACAATCAATATGTATTACACTCACCAAATGTAATGGACTCTCAAAAGCTTAGGAGTCAAAAAAGGGGGCGGAGGGGGTGTGAAACACGTCAACACAATTTCCGGTCATTCCTCGCTACGTCCTGACATCACCTCTGGTGAGTGGAACGCATGCGGACCACTGCGTTTCAGGGCCATCTTCACTGGTTTTTCCATGAGAGCTGCCAATTCATTACTCTGGGGAAATCTTCAGTGGCAGAGATGATTGTCATATTTAACTGACTAAAGGCGTTTTCTGTGTTTTTAACATGTGAGTGCAATTCATGCAGTTTTTGGGAATTGCTTTTGACAATATTACACTATTAATTTTTTATTTTTTATACTGAGCAAATCCTTCCATTGGAGCATCTTCCTGAATGAAAACAAAAAAGTTGATGATTCTAATGTAAAAGTCCACTACAATTTTATCATCCATAGAGGGACACAGAAATATAGCAGTTTGATATTTGGGTTAAACCGCTACCTTTTTAGGAAGTTTGGACTCCTGTAGGTGGCAGGAGATTTCTGTGTCCCTCAGTGGACTGCAATTTAAAATATTTTATGGTAAATACAAAAAATATTATTTTCCTTTTATCATCCTTTGAGGGACATGAGATTATAGTCATTCTTGGACAATTGGGTTATACTGCCACCTACAGTAGTCTAAACCTCCTGAAGGAGGCAGTATAACCTACATGTTTCAAAATTGCTGTATTCTTATGTTCCTCAGTGGACTTAACATTTTTTTTTTCCATAAAGTTTATTAATAAACTCAGAGCATACAATAGGTACAGGTAATAGACTTAAAAATTTACTGTAGGTTCAAAAATCTTTTTTTTTTTTTTTTTTTTTTTTTTAAATATGTTCCTCTGCCTGTCTTTTTTTTTTCTTTGTAGATCAGTATTATGTCTGCTACAATGGATGTGGATCTGTTTTCGGAGTATTTTAATGGGGCCCCTGTTCTCTATCTGGAAGGTAGGCAGCATCCCATCCAGGTCTTCTATACCAAACAGTCCCAAAGTGATTACCTCCAAGCTGCACTGGTTACAATCTTCCAAATCCACCAGGTAATATGAAAACTTCAACCACATAATTTCCTATTGTTGTCATAGCTGTGTTTTGAAATCTGGTGACTGCCCTTTTGTGTTCCATGGACCTGTGTATGTTCCAGAGGTTGTTTTTAGGCTAGCATTGAAGTTCATAGCATAGAAGTTTAAAGTGACCACCCTCACCACAGGCTGACTGGTAGTCGAAGAATGCCAGTAAAAAAACAGGTACTATAATTACCTTTCCAGTAACTTTTATGTGTTGAACCATTGCCGCTACACTGTATGTTCAGGTATGTAGAATACCGGCTCCCTGACACACTTTGTGGTTCCTATTGGGAACCACAGCATGTGGTGGAGGTAATACCTGCTGGCATTATGGTGTTGTGGAATTACAAATGACATGTGGTGACAGGGTCATGATAAGCAGGCATTTCCTGGTACCTCCACTCACTCTTATTTTGGAAAGTGTCTAGTTTACCTTACAAAAATGGGCAGAAACCATTCTTGCCTCCCTATTGCCCAAATCACACTCTCTAGGCAAAAAGGAGAGCAGAAAGTGTTAGGCTATAGAGTGATCAAGAACAAACTTTCCTGTATAGGAATTTCTGGCTTTTACGGTAAACTAGGCTCTAAAGTGCGAGGTGTCTGCATTATCTTAGAGGCAGCGGATAAGCGTGCAGTTAAACATAATTTTAAAATGTTCTCCCTTACCTAGTTCCGCTCTCACTCCTGTACACCCCCCTATAGACCAGAGCAGTATTTACATTTCTGCTGAAAAAATGGACAAACAGAACAAATATTAAAAAAAAAAGTTCAATTCTTAATGGTTTATAAAATAGAAAAAGCTGAAAAATAATAGTTGAAGGAAGGCGTTAATTATGGCTGATTATGGTAAACAAGGGTTAATAAGGAGTTAAGTAGACTAAGTTTCTTAAAAATAACAAAAAAAAAACTTTTTCTTAACGTGTCATGTTGCTTTAATTGACAGGATATGCAGATTGAAGTTCATCAAATTTGCAGCTGAATAAAACAGTATATACAAAAGTATCAATGTTACTTTGTATCTCTTACAGGTCTAAAACTGTGTTGTTAAACATTGAGTTAGACAGTTGTTTTTTTGACAGCTGAAGTTTTTTGAGCTTTTGTATGTACAGTGCAACTCCTGTCTTCATTTTCAAAGCCCAGAATTGTTGGCTATTTGGGGGGGGGGGGGTGACAGGGCAGAAGGACTGGACATGCTACAAATGTTTTGTGTACTAAGATGATGTTTTTTAGATTGTGTGTAGCACATCTAGTGTCTTCGGCTAGTTAAGCAGACCATATTGCACATAAAAGTTCAGAAAATGAAGTATACTAAATATTTACTTGCAGCAATTTTCATTTCCACAACCAAATTTATATTTAATTGCAGTGTGCCTTTGAACTTGACAGCAAATCTGGCTGCTTCAGAAGAGTCAATCCCCTAACACAGCCCCTCTTGCTTTACCTGTTAAAGTCCTCTACTCTCCTGTGAGCGTCTAATTGCTTTTTGTGCTGACCGAGGTCCTTCATTCCTCTTCTCACCTACCTACATAATCCTTTTATGTACCTGCTGAGGGAGGAATGAAGGGGAATACTATAGAGTGTCATTTGACTGACAGCTCTAAGTCTACAGATGCTGCTAACATCCCTTCCAAGATGACGGCACATAAGCAGCAGTCTCAGGCCTTTTGGATGCCCACACAATGGAGGTTTTTACAAGTAAACAACATTCCTAAAATACACTAAATGCAAATATAATCTTATGAAATGATGATTGTTGAAATGTGATTATTTTCATGTAATGTTTAAATGTTCATTCCTGCAGGAGGCACCTGCTTCTCATGACATACTAGTGTTTTTGACTGGTCAGGAAGAAATTGAAGCAATGACTAAGACATGCAGAGACATAGCAAAGCACCTTCCAGATGGCTGCCCTCAGATGACAGTAATGCCTCTTTATGCATCTTTACCACACTCTCAACAGTTTAGAGTATTTCAGAATGTGCCCAAGGTAAGTAAAAATCCATAGCAGTCAATTGGCATCATTTCAGGGCTAATCAAGAAAGCATGCATTATTTTGCAAATGTTTCAGTCAACCTGTATCTGGTAGCATCTAAGCCCAGTATAAAAAGTGTGCAGAGCTCCAGTCTGGAATGAGACACACTGTAAAATATTAATATGGTTCATGATTTGTAAATTGTATTTGTCAGCTGCAGGTTTGTGGTAATTTCTTCATGTTCATCCATAAACTAAATTCTTGATATCTTTAAGGATCACCGCAAGGTTATTCTTTCGACCAATATTGCTGAGACATCCATCACTATAACAGGAATCAAATATGTTGTAGATACAGGCATGGTGAAAGCAAAGAAGTACAACCCAGGTAGGAAATGTATTTGGAGGTTATACATGAGAACATAAACTATCAGTAAATACTTTTTTTGCTGCAGAAGCATTACATTTCCGTACTACCCAGAGTATTTGCTCTTTTTCCAGTTGCTGCTATTGGAGATTAGGCATTACCCTTATCCACATTCCACAATGTAATTTCTGATACAGGCATAGTGAAAGCAAAGATATACAGCCTATTTAGGAAATGCATTTGAGGTTAAACATCAGGAAATACTTTTTTGCTGCAGAATCATTACATTTCAGTACTATCCAGAATATCTGCTGTTCTTCCAGTTCCTGGTATTGGAGATTAGGTACTGCCCTTATGCATATCCCACAGTGTAATTTCTGGTGCCACAGTGATCTATGTGACAAGGGGTGTGCAGATGTCCATGCTTTAAGCGGAACTACACTGCACCTGAGCACCACAAACCGAAAATGCTATCTAATTAATTTTTATTATTAAAAGCAAACTAACCCATCCATGCATGTGTCCATGCTTTATCTTTCTGATAAATCACTTTGAAAAAATGCCCCTAGCATTTCTGGCTGTGGTCATCTTGGGTAAGAGCAGATGATTCCTGTAGCATTTACTTCCTGAAATCCATCCGCCCTTAGCTCAGCCATGCAGGAAGGAGTGTGTGCTTAGCTGAGAAAGCCCTTCCTTCCCTCCTGAAGAATTCTGGGAAGCATGATGTCATTTGCTTAGGCTTGGAAACCAGGAAGTAACTGGTCAAATGAAGAAAAAGAATAAAAAAAAAAGCTTAAACCACTAAATATGAGATACTTTTTTATCTATTTAATAGGGCTAGCAGCATTAGGATTAAAAATAGTCAATGTTGATTGAGAGAGTGAAGTTTCGCTTTTAAGCAAGGCCAACGTTAAATAAATCACTATTTTAAATAGCGATTCAGGGGTTCTTGACAGACCTGCACTTCACTGGATTTGCAGCAAGAGATATGTGGATATGTGTGTATCCTCTGTGTCTGAGAGAGAATCTCCACAAGGGAATATAGACAGTATGCAAAACATAGAGGTTTTAACTCTTCCCTACCCTTTCGAAAACCAAAAAGTTATGGCACTCATAATACCCTATGACCACTTGTAGTCCCGCTCTAGCTGCTCAAGTATAATGATAGGTCCAGTGTTTCACAATGCAGTAGGGGGCCAGGCATTCATATATGCTTGATCCAGAAAACAGTGAGCGCATGTGGAAACGGACGGTCACTACACATCTCTACCTCAGCAGGTGAAGTGGAGTGTAAGCGGTTTCAGCCTCAAACGCCTAGGCCACCATTTGGCAACAATTTCTGGCAACAAGCATTCTATGAGTTACCAAATGTACTAAAGTAACAACATTAACATAGTTTACCTTTGTGTTCTATATAGGATCCGCTGCAGAATAAGTCTACTCTACAGAGAATCCGTAATAGAGCAATAGTAGCGCATTACCTGTTTGTCCTATGCAACATCTCCTCTTTCCTGCGTCACCTTTGACATTCAAAATTCCAAGGCTGGTTTGAGTCTGACTAGAAGCTGTGAGAAACATTGTAGTACTGGCATTTTAGCAGCAGACCTTTTGTGTGAAAGGCAGCAAGGAGAATGTTCCAGCATTACCAGCAGGTGCATTCCAGGATCACCAAACTAAATAAAGTGCAGTGAATTAGTGCAGTACAGAAGTGCCTGGATGAAAGCATTCCTGTGTGCATCTTAAAGGTTTAATATCACATTTTGACTGGAGTACATCTTTATCCAATTTCTTATATGAGGCCTTGAGTCTTTACATAATGTATGTGGTATTTGAGCCTGTAGGTTCAATTATTTAATTACAAACAATCCAGGTCCATTACAGGCCAAATCCAGTCAGCTGAACTTATTTATATTGATTGTGTTTTAAGTAGCAGGAGGGCTTGACCATTCCCAGGTGCCAGGTCAGCATGGTGACCAGAAACCATGTCCTGGCTCCTGGGCCCACACTGCCCTGTTCTCCCCCATCCCACAGCTGACTCCTCTCCCACGCTCCACCCTTCCTGTCCCACTTCCCCCCACCCTTGACACTTTCCCCTCCTGTCATTCTTCCCTCCTCTTGTTACGCTGCCCCCCACCTGGCTTCTAACTTTTTTTTAGCTGGATTCTAAATTCAAAGCAAATTTGTCAAGTCCTGGTGTAAACTGCACTTTTCTGTAAGAATACTACTGGATGCATTTAGACCCCATGCACACTAGGCGATTAGGCATGGTGAATGTGTGGTGAATGTTGGTGTTTAGCTGTGGGCAGGTGCCCCATCCAGCCCCATTGCTGAAGGCCTGTAAAACTTTTTGAGAGACTGAATTCTGCTGCTGCTGGATGTTACACCTGGCAGTACTTTATTTTTGCAGTATATGCCCAGCGACAAGTGCCCGAAACACAGACTGAGCATTTTAAAGTTTTTAGGTTCAAGATTGTTTGTTTTTTTTGTTTGTTTTTTTTTTGTGTGTGTTTTGTTTTTTTGCCTGCACCTTATTTTTTTGTACAAGGTGTCAGACCTGTGTAAATGTTTTGTGAAAATTGCTGACACCTAAGGATTTTCTTTGGAAAGCAGCATGTCCAAGTAGTTGTCAAAAGAGAACTTCCAAGAGGTGAAGATGAGACCTGGAAATTACTATGATTTTACCCTGTTCCCTCTTTGTCTACCTATGCCTACTTAATCCAAATGTGCATTAATGACCTTCAAATGCTTTCGCCTTTTGTTTTTGAAATCATGTCACAAGCAAAATAATATTAAAAATATTATAAAGGATTTATATAGCACCGATAGTTTGTGATGCACTTTACAAGATAAAAGTACAGTAGCATGTTTTCTAACTTCAAATAAATGTTTGTGTCTGTAGACAGTGGTCTTGAAGTGCTTGCAGTGCAAAGGATATCAAAAGCCCAGGCATGGCAGCGTACGGGAAGAGCTGGTAGAGAGGACAGTGGGATATGCTATAGACTCTATACAGAAGATGAGTTTGAGAAGCTTGAGAAAATGACTGTACCAGAAATACAAAGGTAAGCAAGTAAATGTGTTCATAATTCTATATACAGGTGAAAACACAAAAAATTAGAATATCATGCAAAAGTTCATTTATTTCAGTAATGCAACTTAAAAGGTGAAACGAATGAGATATGAGATAGACTCATTACATGCAAAGCAAGATAGTTCAAGCCGTGATTTGTCATATTTGTGATGATTATGGCTTACAGCTCATGGAAACCCCAAATCCACAATCTCAGAAAGTTAGAATATTGTGAAAAGGAGCAATATTCTAGGCTCAAAGTGTCCCACTCTAATCAGCTAATTAAGCCATAACACCTCCAAAGGGTTCCTGAGCCTTTAAATGGTTTCTCAGCCTCATTCAGTAGGCATCACAATCATGGGAAAGACTGCTGACCTGACAGTTGTGCAGAAAACCATCATTGACACCCTCCATAAGGAGGGAAAGCCTCAAAAGGTAATTGCAAAAGAAGTTGGATGCTCCCAAAGTGCTGTATCAAAGCACATTAATAGAAAGTTATGTGGAAGAAAAAGGTGCACAAGCAGCAGGGATGACCGCAGCCTGGAGAGGATTGTCAGGAAAAGGCCATTCAAAAGTGTTGGGGACTTTCACAAGGAGTGGACTGAGGCTGGAGTCAGTGCATCAAGAGCCACCACACACAGATGGATCCTGGACATGGGCTTCAAATGTCGTATTCCTCTTGTCACGCCGCTCATGAACAACAAACCACATCAGAAGCGTCTTACCTGGGTTAAAGAAAAACAGACCTGGTCTGTTGCTCAGTGGTCCAAAGTGCTCTTTTTCTGATGAGAGCAACTTTTGCATCTCCTTTGGAAACCAAGGACCCAGAGTATGGAGGAAGAATGGAGAGGCACACACTGCAAGATGCTTGAAGTCCAGTGTGAAGTTTCCACAGTCTGTGTTGATTTGGGGACCCATGTTATCTGCTGGTGTTGGTCCACTGTGCTTCATTAAGTCCAGGGTCAACGCAGCCATCTACAAGGAGATTTTGGAGCACTTCATGCTTCCTTCTGCAGACGAGCTTTATGGGGATGCTGACTTCATTTTCCAGCAGGACTTGGCACCTGCCCACACTGCCAAAAGCACCAAAACCTGGTTCAATGACCGTGGGATTACTGTGCTTGATTGGCCAGCAAACTCGCCTGACCTGAACCCCATAGAGAATCTATGGGGCATTGCCAAGAGAAAGATGAGACATGAGACGGAACAATACAGAAGAGCTGAAGGCCGCTATTGAAGCATCCTAGACTTCCATAACACCTCAGCAGTGCCACAGGCTGATAGCTTCCATGCCACGCCGCATTGAGGCAGTAATTGCTGCAAAAGGGGCCCAAACCAAGTATTGAGTACATATGCATGCTTATACTTTTCAGAAGTCCAATATTGTTCTATGTACAATCCTTGTTTTATTGATTGCATGTAATATTCTAATTTTCTGAGATTGTGGATTTGGGGTTTTCATGAACTGTAAGCCATAATCATCACAATTCTTACAAATCACGGCTTGAACTATCTTGCTTTGCATGTAATGAGTCTATCTCATATATTAGTTTCACCTTTTAAGTTGCATTACTGAAATAAATGAACTTTTGCACAATATTCAAATTTTTCGCGTTTCACCTCTATGTGAAAATAGTGATTTGATTGAAGAATACCTGAGGGTTTTTTTATGACTGTTTTTGAAATTGTTATTACTCTATCATCCATCGAAGACACAGCTTTATGGATAGTATGCAACCAAGGGTTATACTGCCGTCTACAGGGAAAATGAACACTGGGCACATAGAAACTGAAGGCCAGCCCACTACAGGCTATAACCCTTCCCACTTCAAAGATATGCTTCATGCCCTCAGGAGATTGGATGTCTCCTTTCTCTCTGCTGTATTTTTCACTGGAAATTCAAGTGAAAATTATTTCCTTGGACTGTGTTTTTATGTGTGTGGTTTTTTTTTTTTTTTTTTTTTTTTTTTTGGGTGGGGGGGGCGGGGGAGTTGACGGACAGGCAGTGTTTTTCTGCAAAAACTACTGCCACTTCCTTTCTGCACTCTACTTTCTGCGGGAGTACTGAGGACAGTCTCCGAGGCAGTTCTTCTCTTCACAGATGACTGTTTCCCTGCACTGTTCCGCAGTCCTGGGCTTCATAGTCTTTTCGACAGCTGTACATATCTTTTAGTCTCAATTTAGCCATTCCTATCATCTGCTATCAGTGACAAGTGTTCACAGAACCTTTGTGCTGCATTAACTCCTTGTCCTGGGGATCCATACATAATCCTTGCAGAATAGGTACATATATGTTTCTTAACTTTTTCTTTCTTTTTCTTCCTCCCTCTTCCAGTCATACAAAGGAGGATTTTTCTTCTGTTACACATTTTTATTAATCTATTCTAGACACTTAAAATGAGGGGATTCCACTGTTACTTTACCTACCACAGTATTTGGCCTTGGTTCTCATAGACCTAAATGTCCCAATAAGGTTTTTATTCTTCATCCCCTATGCAGTGTATTTTATCTACGATGATTGGAAACCACCAGACAAACAAACACTTTTTTGCCTTTAAACAATTCCAGGTGCTTTATCCCTTTCCAGAGGATTTTTGTTCACAAAATGGTCTACTCCTCCCTAGGTCAACTCTCCAGTGTGTCACTTTGACAAGGCTCTGACTGTTTCTATAAAAGGTGCTCTGTCTCTAGGGACCCTGTTGACAAGAAATCATGTGCAGTTTTTCAGTCTATCTACTTCCTAATGGGATCAGCCCTTCAACTTTTGCCAAACACCATTCTTTAAAGCGATTTTTGGGGAAAATAACAAACATGCTATACTTGCCTACTGTGTGCAGTGATTTTGCACAGAGCAGCCCGGATCCTCCTCTTCTTGGGTCCCCCGCAGGCTTTCCTGGCCCCTCGCTCCTGTCGGGTGCCCCCACAGTAAGCAGCTTGCTATGGGGACACCTGCTCCATGTGTCCATTCCCACATGGAGCCGTGGTTTGGCCCCACCCCCTCTCATTGGCAGGCTGACTGTGATTGACAGCAGCGGGAGCTAATGGCTCCCACTTGCTGTCTCAGCCAATGAGGAGGCAGTGACCCGGGACAGCCGAGGCTGTTGTTCACATTGCTGGATTGAGATGAGGCTTAGGTAAGTATTGAGGAGGCTGGGGACACTGCTGCACACAGAAGGTTTTTTACCTTCATGCATGCCTTCATTCATTTTGCTCAATGAAGTCATTAAAAATGCAACTGGGAGTACTCAACCCAGCTGCTTTAAAATTAAAGATCAATGCAGTAGGATAACATTCTCCTATTTCACATCAAAACATTTATTTTAATCCTTTAAGTCAGGTTCCAGTTCCCAGACCCACAAGTTTTCTTCCTCTCCCTCAGGCTCTGGGACTTCAAAGCATCCTTGGAAGTCCAAGAGTTCTTAACCTGCTGATAAATCTGCCTCAGCATGAAGATGTGCCCCACCAGCTCCATCCACAGGTGGGGGAGCAGCATCTAAAGGCCTTCATGGACTTTTGGAAATCTCTCATAGCGCCGCACTTAGGTGTAGACGATTATTCCTACATGTTATAAAATTAAATTTCTCTTTTGTCCTTCACCTCATTGTTTCGTTTTGCATCTCCTGGTTTTCAGCAACGTTGGATGGAACTGCTTCCAGCTATTTAGTAATTGTTGAAACCAGGGTATTAATATTCTCATTCCTGCAACCAAAAGATTTCACTTTTTTAATTCAAATCTGTGTACAGTTCCGTAATCCAATGGAGGCCTTCGTTCCATCTTGGATTCAAAGGCTCTCAATACCTTTCCTCTGGTGAAGCTATTTCCCCATCTATTTTGAAGGATCAAAAGCATGGATGCTCCAAGTCATTCTCATAGCTGCAGATTGACCTCCCAATTTTTGGTATGCCTACTTTGGTAGCTTGCTGACTCTCTTTGGCCTCTACAAAATTGGCCAAATCTTTTATCCCAAGAACAGATCTTCCACCTTGCTTCTCAATCACTGGCTTTGATGTCTTGGCTGTTGTAACACAGGTTCTGAGAGAAAGGAGCATTACAGGTTGAGTTATCTCAACAGTGCTTAAAACTTGTAGGTCTACTTTCTGTTGCGTACGAAAGGCTTATTTTCATTTCCTTTTAGTTGGGGGTAGAGCCATATTTAGCCACTAATATCTCTCACTTGTTTCTGTGCAGGTTTAGAATTGACAATTTGTGCCGTATCACAAAGTAAGATGTTTTGTTTTTTTTCTAAATGTGAATAATGTTTTTGTTTTTGCACAGGTGTAATCTAGCCAGTGTGATGCTGCAACTTCTGGTTCTGAGAGTTCCGAATATTCTGACATTTGACTTTATGTCCAGGCCCTCTTCAGGTGTGTGGGCAAAATATATAAAACTTGACTCATTTTGCATGTAAAGTCCTTACATTTTAGCAGAACTTCACCCACAAGGTGGGGGATGGGTACCTGGTTTCGACAGGTATCCGCTCCCACTTCCGGTCTGATGCACCATGGTGATCTCAGCTGGATGATCACTCCCCCACAGCCTTCTGGGACACTTCACAGATCCTGAGAAGACTGCGGGATTCTTCACAAAGCACAGTGCGCTTTGTGCATGAAACTGGTTGTGAAGTCGCAAAGCTTCACTGCCGGTTTCCCTTACTCAAGTTTCTGGCACCAAAGCCAATTGATAATCAGCTCGGGTGAGGACATCACTGGATCCTTGAACAGGTAAGTGTCCTTATAGTAAAAGTCAGCAGCTACAGTATTTGTCTCTGCTGAATTTTTTGGAGGGGAGCCTGGAGCTCTTCTTCAAAGTCAGCCTGTACACCTTCTTAGTTTCCTTTTTATAAGACAGAATATTGTCATCTTCTATCCCTCCTCACTGCCTGTCAAAAGTCCTCTGGCGAGCTATCCACCATGTATCTTTCCTTTTGGATTATATGAATGATTGTTCTACTTGATATTTTGACATACAATACAGCAAATTTAAATTTGATTTTTCCTTAAAATGCTCAGAAATATCCAACCATATTGTCAGATAACACAAAGAGAGGGAGGAAATTGGGAACTTCTAGATGGCAGATTTTCTTTAGGAAATGGGAGAAATTAAAATTTTTTTGCATGATTGTGTGATTACATTCCACTGCGAAACCAAATTCATTTTGGAAGAGGGAAATCTTTTGCTTTATTCTGTGTGTTTTTTTTTTTGTTTTTTTTAACCACTTGCCGACCGCAGATACCCAAATGACGGCTTATCCGCGGCTGGCCAGTTCTGGGAGGGCGTCGTATGACGTCTTCCCAGAATGCGCCCTCCCGCGTGCCCCCGGCTATCTCTGTGATCGCTGTGTTCTACGGACACAGCTGATCATGTGATGTGGTAAAAGGCTAATCACAGAGGCCTTTTACCACGTGATCAGCCATGTCGAATGACACAGCAGATCACCGATAAATGCAGTTGCTGGTTATTGGCTGCACGTTCCTCCCACTGTGACAGTGTGAGGAAAGTACTGCCGATAACTGGCAATTGTCAGAGGACTGATCGGCACCGATCATCAGGGCACTGATGATCATTGCCCTTTGATTAGTGCCCAGCAGTGCCGCCCACAGGTGCCCAGCAGTACCACCCACCTGTGCCTAGTAGTGCAACCCACCTGTACCCATCAGTGCCCATCATTGTTGCATATCAGTTCCGCTTATCAGTGCAGCCTCATCAACGCACATCAGTGAAGGAGAAAAATTACATGTTTGTAAAATTTTATAATAGAAACAAAAAACTTTTTTTTTTTCAAAATTTTTGCTAATTTTTTTGTTTATAGTGCAAAGAATAAAACACCCAGTGGCGAGTACATTCCACTAAAAAAAAAAGCTCTATTTGTGTGAAAAAAATTATAAAATGTCATATGGCTACAATGTTGCATGACCGTGCAATTGTCAGTCAAAGTGCGACAGCGCTAAAAGCTGAAAATTGGCCTGGGCAGGAAGGGGGTACAAGTGCCCGGTAAGCAAATGGTTGAATATTACTCAAGAACAACATTTGTGTGAAGACCTAATACTGTTAAAGAAAAAATGGTGTAACTGTTGCATGGTAAATAAAGGATTATTTTTCTTTTCTTTTCTTTTTTTTTTTTAGACTCTATACGCGCTGCCATTGATCAGTTGGATCTTCTAGGTGCAGTTGAGAGGAAGGAAGACCAGATTATCCTCACACCACTTGGAAGAAAGATGGCTGCTTTCCCTTTGGAACCACGGTTTGCTAAGGTAACTTCCTAAATACCTACCTGTGTGCAGTGTGTTAGACTTGCATCATGTTCATTGTGAAAATTTCTATAGAAACACTTATCTAGTACCTAGACACCATCTACTATAAATAAAAATTGCTTCTAATTATTCTTCTTTCCTTTTCAGACTATTCTCATTTCGCCAAAATTTCATTGTACAGAAGAAATCCTGACTATTGTGGCTTTGCTTTCAGTGGACAGTGTTCTCCATAATCCTCCAGCTAAACGAGATGAAGTACAGGCAGCTCGCAAGAAGTTCATCTCTAGTGAGGGGGATCATATCACCTTGCTAAATATCTATCGTGCATTCAAAAACTTGGGCAAAAATAAGGCAAGTATCACGTGTCAGGATTGGGCAAAATTCACCTTCACTTTTTATGGAAAACAGACTACAGTCAGGGTCAGATTTCTTTATTACCAACACAGGCTGTGGTCCAGGGAAGGGTGGCAGGAGAGCCAAACACACCCACTTCAGGAGCACCCGCATTGTACTGCGGACGGGTGGCTGCTACAATCACAGCAACATACCTGTACGTCGTTTCTGCATCCAGGTTCAGGGAGAAGGAACAAGTAGATTTTTAGTAAAAAGCAGCACATAATACACACATTAACACTTGTTAGGCACACACTTAACCCCTTGATTACCCTGAGATGTTAACCTCTTTCCAGCCAGTGTCATTAATACAGTAGTATTATCACTGACCACTGTGTTAATGTCATTGGTGATGTCTGTGTCAGTCAGTTCCTACCCAGTGTCTGTTGGTGTCAAGATTGTCCACCGCATTATCACAGTACCACTAGAAGTTGCTGATCACTGCCATTAAAAGTAAAAAAAAAAAAAAAAAAAAAAAAAAAAAATTCCAGTATATATACCATAGTCTGTAAACGCTATAACTTTCACACAAACCAATCACTATACACTTTTTTTGTGTTTTTTTGTTTTTTTTTACCAAAGATGTAGCAGAATACATTTTTGGCTGAAATATATGAAGAAATTTGATTTTTCTTATTGGATATGTTTTAAAAGCAGAAGGTAATACTCACACACACACACACTCACTGTCTCTCTCTCCCCTGCTGATTTTGAATGTTTGCCCACTCACAAAGAAATAATCAGTCTAAAAATCGAATGGTAGGTGTATTGTAACACTGAGAGACAGAATAGCAACAAAATATTCAAAAGCAATTATGCACTGATTTGCATGTTCGTGAGGGAGATAAGTATTTGATCCCCTATCATCCAGCAGGATTTCTGGCTACCAGATGTCTTTCATACAGGTAACAAGCTGAGATTAGAAGCAGTTTCTTAAAGGGAGTGCTGCTAATCTCATTGTTACCTGTATAAAAGACCCCTGTCCACAGGAGCAATCAGATTCCAAACTCTCTACCATGCAAAGATCAAAGAGCTGTCCAAGGATGTCAGGGACAAGATTGTAGACCTACACAAGGATAGACTGGGCTACCAAACGACCGTCAAGCAGCCTGGTGAGAAGGTGACAACAGTTGGTGCAATCATTCGCAAATGGAAGAAACGCAAAACAACTGTCAGTCTCCCTAGGTCTGGTGCACCATGCAAGATCGCACCTAGTGGAGTGTCAATGATCATGAGAACAGTGAGGAATCATCCCAAAACTACACGTGAGGATCTTGTCAACGATCTCCAGGCAGCTGGGACCACAGTCACCAAGAAAACAATTGGTAACAGACTACGCCGACAAGGATTGAAATCCTGCAGTGCCCGCAAGGTCCCTTTGCTCAAGAAAGCACATGTCCAGGCCCATCTGAAGTTTGCCACTGAACATCTGAATGATGCAGAGGAGGACTGGTTGAAAGTGTTGTGGTCAGATGAGACCAAAATCGAGCTCTTTGGCATCAACTCAGTTTGGAGGAGAAGGAATGCTGCCTATGACCCCAAGAACACCATCCCAACTGTCAAACGTGGTGGAAACATTCTGCTCTGGGGGTGTTTTCCTGCTAAGGGGACAGGACAACTGCACCGCATCAAAGGGACAATGGACGGGGCAATATAGCATCATATCTTGGGTGAGAACCTTCTTCCCTCAGCCAGGGCATCGAAAATGGGTCGTGGATGAGTGTTCCAGCATGACAGTGACCCAAAACACACGGCCAAGGCAACAAAGGAGTGGCACAAGAAGAAGCCAATTAAGGTCCTGGAGTGGCCTAGCCAGTCTCCAGACCTTAATCCAATTGAAAATCTGTGGAGGGAGCTGAAAGTTCGAGTTGACAAACGTCAGCCACCAAACCTTAATGACTTGGAGAGGATCTGCCAAGAGGAGTGGGCCAAAATCCCTCCTGAGATGTGTGCAAACCTGGTGGCCAACTACAGGAAACGTCTGACCTCTGTGATTGCCAGCAAGGGATTTGCCACCAAGTACCAAGTCATGTTTTGTGAAGGGGATCAAATACTTATTTCCCTCATGAACATGCAAATCAGTGCATAATTTGTTAGACATGCATTTCTTTTTAATTTTTTGTTGCTACTCTGTCTCTCAGTGTTACATTATACCTACCATTCGATTTTTAGTAAAGTGTTGGATGCAGTAGTGTAAAGCACGCTGCCACTGGACTCTAGAGCAGTGGAAACGTGTTCTCTGTAGTGAACATTCTCTGTCTGGCAATCTGATGGACGTGTCTGGGTTTGGTAGTTGCCAGGAGAACGGTACTTGCCTGACTACATTGTGCAAAGTGTAAAGTTTGGTGGAGGGGGGATTATGGTGTAGGGTTGTTTGTTTTTTTTAGGGGTTGGGCTTGGTCCCTTAGTTCCAGTGAAGGGAACTCTTAAGGTGTCCGCATGCCAAGACATTTTGGACAAATTCATGCTCCCAATTTTGTGGGAACAGTTTGGGATGAATTAGAGCGGAGACCGCGAGCTAGGTCTTCTCGTCTGACATCAGTGCCTGACCTCACAAATGCGCTTCTGGAAGAATGGTCAAACATTCCCATAGACACACTCCTAAACCTTGTGGACAGCCTTCCCAGAAGAGTTGAAGCTGTTATAGCTGCAAAGGGTCGGCCAACTCAATATTGAAACCTCCGGGCCAAGATTGGGATGCCATTAAAGTTCACGTGCATGTAAAGGCAGGCGTCCCAATACTTTTGGCAATATAGGGTATATCCAGCTGCTTATATTTCAGGATCTACTGACTTTTTTTTTTTTTTTTCCCCAAATATGTAGTTTGAAAAGTAACTTAAATTAACCCCTGCATACATATTCTGCCATATCTTTTAAAATGCTTGGGTTTGTGATGCAAAGCTAAATGTAAATTCTGATGAACTCTGCATAAATTGCTGAAAAACTGATGACAGTGTAAGCAGAATTATAGGGACATTTAAAAAACCAACTACTCCCAAAACAGGGTTTCTTTTGGAAAATTGAATCCCATGCCTAAATCTTTGTTTGAAAAGTCACCTATAATTTAAAGACAAACTAAACTCTGGAAGCTGTGCCCAAAGAAGGGTAGACGGAGGGTCAGGTTCTAGGCGCTAGCAAACCTGTGGTCTCCCTGCATCTGATCCTTCAGCCATTACTGATTTACCATGCCTTGTTTTGCATTGTATCTCTGTGTAGAGCAGTGGTTCTCAACCTGTGGGTCGCGACCCCTTTGGGGGTCGAACAATCTTTTCACAGGGGTCACCTAAGACCATCGGAAAACACATATTTCTGATGTGTAAAGAGCAGCTACTGTGTAGAAAGCAGCTGCTGTGTTGAAAGCAGCTACTCTGTTAAAGCAGCTACTATGTTGAAAGAAGCAGTATTGGAGGTAAAAACGACACTTCATGAATTATAATTACTAGGTAAATAATTTTATGGTTGGGGGTCACCACAACATAAAGAACTGTGTTAAAGGGTCACGGCATTAGGAAGGTTGAGAACCACTGGTGTAGAGGATGCAGTCTGATAGAGGCAGGGCTTTGATTCCTCTGGTCAGAGCCTGTGAGCAGCACAGTAGTTAGCTCCTTGCCTTATATCTCATACTACAGATATACAGCTATAAGGCTATAGGAACAGGAGCGGTTAGACATGCTCACATATAAGTAAGGCAGTGCTATGTTTTAGGACAAGTTTCAGGAAAAAAAGTACATTTTCCAGGGTATTGCTAAGGCACAGTTTACTTTTCTAAATGATCCCTATAACACCACATATCTTCACTTTTTGAGTTTAATTTCACTTTAATGCTATAGAATAACGTAATGTGATAATATAAAATCATGATTAAAGTCGTCTAATTTGTTTGTTTCATACTTAGGATTGGTGCCGTGAAAATTTCATAAATGGCAGAAATATGATGCTGGTATCTGAGGTCCGTGCTCAGCTCAGAGACATTTGTATAAAGGTATTTTGTTTTTTGTTTTCTGCCCTGCCACTAATGTCTTGGTTTTTCTGAGTGACATTTTAATGGCTTCTGTTTTGTCCACCTTGGCTATATATTGGAGTGTTACCAACTTTAAGTTTATATCACTCTTAAATTGGAAACGTTCCATATCGTTATCAAAACCAAGCAGCTTGATGTATTACAATTCCTTGGTCAATTTTTGAAACTATTTAAAATGAAACTAAAGATAGATATAAAATCTTTTTAAGTTGGTAATCATTATATGTATTCTATGTATATTTCTCTGTCTTCAATAAAGTGTAGGTAAATCCAAAGGAATTGTGTGATATTTTGCAGTTTGCCAGTCCTTAGATATGTTGTCTGCTTTAGTTTTCTCTTTTCAGACTTATTTCCTTTTTATTTTCACACCTCCTGTCTCTAGGTGGCTACACTCTTTAATCAAATATATCTATGGAGGGAGCCATGGTTTTTACAGATGGCACATCAAACCTGCCTACCTCTGTACATCTCTATTACATGGTGGAACAATTGGGATTAGTAGTTTACAAGAAAAATAAGGATGGTTATCCTTTTTAAATCTCACTGATAATGGTACTGCATTTCTGGGAAGAACATACATTTTCTGAACTTGCTGAAAATATTTTTACCTGAAAAAAAGAAAACTGAAGCAGTCACCACCAGCTCAGCAGGGAGAAAAGCAGGGGAGAAGTACAATATTTGCAGTGTTTGTATATACCTATGCAGATTGTATTTTTGACTGAATCTGTAGAACTCTTTAAGAAAGATTTTTTTATTTTACAGTTATAGAAGAGACATCCTATAGGAATATGCGTAAACCAGACAACAAGCTTGTATTTTGAAATCTCCCTGTAGGTCAATCCTGTTTTACTGTGTCATTCCATTCATATACTTTCTTTTTAATTTGCAGATGTCCATGCCATTAGAGTCCTCAAGAACAGACTCGCGTAACATCCGACAGTGCTTAGCCCACGGCCTGTTCATGAATGCTGCTGAGCTGCAACCAGATGGAACATATACCACTGTAGAGACACATCAACCTGTTGCCATACATCCATCTTCTGTCCTTTTCCACTGTAAACCTGCGTGTGTGATTTACAATGAGCTTCTTCACACATCTAAGTGCTATATGAGAGACCTGTGCGTGGTGGATGCTGATTGGCTCTTTGAAGCTGCCCCAGAATATTTCAGGAGAAAATTAAAATCTGCTAAAAATTAGGTCACTCCAGAACATTTCCTGTTCTGTTGGATGGTATGGCACTAGATTGGTGGACTTTAAGCATAAAAATTTAGATTTACCGGATTGACATTCCCTGCTGGGCATATCCTTCACTGGAAAATGTTTTCAAGTTGTCCATTGTACAACGTACATACAGTATATCACTGTATCATTCTTGCGTGAATCTTATACATTTGTAAGATAATCGATTTAGATTATCATTTTTGCATATGCTTGTAAATTAGATTCATGAGCCACAGGAGGACTGTATATTAACTGCTGCATTGTATAAATCAAAATGATTTAAAATGTAACATTTCTTAGGTCTGTTTACTGTGCTAAAATAGTACTGAATTTTGTTAACCACAATTGAAGCTTACTATAAAAAAATCTTCTTCTAATGAAGCTTGTTGACCAGTAACCAATACTGATTTGCTTTTATTGTTAAAAATATTATACGTACCTCCTCTCCTCGATCTTGATCCCTCGCTGGCACTGGCATCTCTCTTGGTGCCAGTCTTCAGGCATCTCCATTGGTTGGTGTAGAATGATTTAATTCCTTTGCATGTGCAGGAATCAGTCATCCCAGCACACGGGGACCATTCCAAGTGATGTAAGCTGAGCTACGCATGTGCAGCTTAGGTTACTTGTCGCAGGAGACTGAGCAGGCAGGTAGGTGTATTTTATTGCAGAAGAGACATTGCATGTCTCTTTGAGACCATAGCCTGTCTCTTTGAGACCATAGCCTGCCTGCTCACAGCTGTTTTAAAATGAGTTTCGTTCCACTATATATTATATAAGTTTTGGTTTTGTACCATATATAAGGATTTTCATCTTCTGTTTTGATTTTCATGTATAATCAGCCTTTCTGTAAGTTCTGTACTGAATATATTAGTCACTTAGCTTTTAAATTATAGCTATGTTAATATCGAATCTGACGTTAAATTGTATGGAAAATAAAATTCACCTTTTGTACATATTCTGTAAATATACACTTAAAACTTCTAGAAACATCAGTTCTTTTGTCTGCTGCATTTCTGAAAGCCTAAATATACGAAAATAGCTAAATTCACTCTTAAAATACATGTTTGTGAATTGTCTCATCTATATATAATTATACAGTATATAATAAAGTGAGTCGATTTGCAGTTTTTTCAGCCACTCTTGTGATCCAGGCATGCCTGCCAGATGACATATCCAGGTCACTGACCACTCTTCCTCAAAATGGCTAAGTATTGCTTGGTCATGGACTCACACCCAGCCTAGAAGGATAACACTGATGAGGACATCTGCTTGCCCATTCTCTATCAGCAAGCTCACAGGGTTAGGTTGACAGCACTGTAGAACCCAGTTGGCTCAAACTACTGGTCGTCTTTGTTGGTGTGTTGCAGGGCATTTCAGGAAGCTAATTTAGCATAAAATGCATTCATTTCTTTTATGATACTTTATATGTTTTGAATGACTAAATAACCAGAACATATAGAATTCTTTTTATATCTGCCTATAGTTCTGCTTTAATGTGTTTTGACATGTATAAACAGGCAGACATTAATTCTTCTTTACTTTTATTATTACGTACAACTGTTACGTCAGGTGCTGCGTAGATTATAAGTTGCTTGAGTAAAAGGGACCACTAATCGTATTGTCCATTGCAAGACCCAGTAAACGTTAACTGGAATGCTTTATTGTTTAAATTGTAAATGAAATGGTTCTGAGGTATTGCATTTTAGCATGAATTGGTAACACACACCGTTTTAATTACAGTATATATATTTAACACCATTGATGACTTTCTACTTTTTATAGTGTGCGCTGTAAGAGATAATAGGACGCAAACAGTTTTTTGTGCTCACAAGATAATTGCTTATTGTAGCCAAACTACTGTTGCACAGCTTGTAAAGCACGGTATGATGAAACTTTATACATTAATGTATTTATCCCTTTTAGGTGCAATCTTTTTAAATCTCACCTTTTTAATAGTGATCCAGATGTCATTTTTAAGCAATTTCTAAAGAGAGTACGTGTGCCTTGTAATGCAGAAATGCCAGATCATTTTAATTAAGACTGCTCAGGGATGAATGTTTTTGGGTTATACAACAATGCAAGCTCCTGGTGTATATATACAAAATCTGATACTTCTGTCATGTGGTATATTATCTATCAATAATACTATGTATACATATCCACTTTGTTATTGTGCTTTTGAACATTGATAATAAATTGCTCTTTATTAGTTTTTAGGATTCTATTACTGTTTACTAGGTGCAATATAAAAAAATTGCTGCTATAATATAGGCAAGTGTAAAACTAAGGTAAAGTGCTGTCTTCTAGACTTAAAATAAATGCAGCATGAAAACAGTGGTTTGAAAAATGTATTCGTACTACCAATACAGGAAATGCTGCGGTATATATTTTTATTTGTTCTATATATTGTACTAAAATAAATAAAACTTTTGTTTTTATATATAGTTATTCGGGTTGTTTGTTACTTTAAACCTGATGAATATGCAACTAACATGTTGTTAGCGGTCTACCTTGCTATATTGGTCCTGGGCATTTTTATTAACGTGCAGTTTTAATCAGCCAGTCAGAGAACATCTACAGCTATCCAGTTAATACTGCAGCTATGTTAAAGACATAAAATTCACTTAGGTTTACCTTTAAAGTAGTTGTAAATCTTTACATATACCCAGTGAAGTAACATGCCCCAGGTATGATACACAGGAATTAAACCAGTCCTTGTACATAAGGTGTACCTGTTTATCTATAGCTGTCTTCTCACCTAAATCTGTTCAAAATGCAGAATTTACAAAGTATCTCTCATCTCTGAAAAGCAGGGGGCGGGGACCTGACGTTACATCAATGAGAGCTGATTGGAGGGAAGTGACACCCCCCCTCCCCCTTTCTCATAGCTCACAGGAACAGAACTAAGGCTGTCAATCATTGGCTATGCCCTCCCCTATCACCATTTTTCTCTTGGTGTCAGGAAAACTTGTCAGAAGTGACTTATTCTTATAGCAGAGGGACCAGGTAGCAGACAGAAATTACACATAGTTCTCTGGATTGATACAAGCACACGCTATAGAGCAGTGGTCTCCAAACTGCAGACTGGGGGCTGGGCGCAGCCCTTTCTTGCTTTTATCTGGCACTTTGTATTATTTCATCCTCTGACATCAACAATGGGGCATAATCCCCCCACTGATGCCAGTGAAGGGGCACAGTTCCTCCTAGTGACACAAATGATGGGGCATTATTCTTCCCACCTAATGACACCAACGATGGGGAACAATTCCTCTCACTGATACCAAAGATGGGGGCATTGTTTACTCTCATTGATGCTGGGACATTTTCTACTAATGGTCACAGTTCGGCCCCCCTAAAGTCTGAACTTTGTTTACAAAGTTTGGAGACCCCTGCTATAGAGGGATATGCTTTGTTCATATTTCATGTCTGAGGTTTACAGCCACTTTAACAGCCTCCCACCCCTATATAGTAAAAATGGACACAAGGCGGTTCTCTCAATCTGGGAGGACGTCATATGACGTCCTCCCATTCTAACCGCGCATGTGCCACTCCCGGAGCGTGCAGCGCGGCAATCGGCGGTGCGCCGTGTCCCTTGGACACGGTGGATCACAGATCCACGGAAAGAGCTGAAGATGTCGGCTCGGTCATGTGATCAGCTGTGTCCAATCACAGTTGATCACATGTAAACAGGGAAATGACGGTTATCGGCATTTCTCTCCCCACGAGCTGTCACGCTGACAGCTCATGAGGAGAGGAGAGCCGGTAATCGGCATTCCTCAGAGGGGACATGTACACAGATCATCAGAGCACCGATGATCAGTGTGCCCTGATGATCTGTGTAGCCCCAGCAGCACCACCTGTCAATGTCCATCAGTGCTCATCAATGCCACATATCAGTGCCCATCTGAGCTGCCTTTCAGTGTCACTCATCAATGCCTATCAGTGCCATATATGAGTGCTACCTTTCAGTGCCCAACAGCGATGCCTGTCAATGCCCATCAGTGAAGGAGAAAAATTATTTATTTACAAAATTCTATAACAAAAACTAAAACTTTTTTTTTTTTTTTCTTCAAAATTTTCAGTGGTTTTTGGTTTAAGAAAAAATAAAAAACCCAGAGGTGATTAAATACCACCAAAATAAAGCTCTGTCACAAAAAATGATAAAAATTTCATATGGGTACAGTGTTGCATGACTGCACAATTGTCATTCAAAGTGCAACAGCGCTGAAAGCTGGAAATTGGCCTAGGCAGGAAGGGGGTATAAGTGCCCTGTAGGCTAGTGGTTAAAGTAGAACACCAGCCAGTTTTGTCATTAAGACCGGTATTGATGTGAAATCTTTCCAACAGTAACTCAATACTAACATATAAACCTTCATGAGATTCTAAACTTTCCTCACTTTATTTTTTTATTTATTTTTTTTTTTTGGAGATTCTTTATATTAAGGTTTAAAAGATTACAAAACTGGTGCTCAGTCCCAATGTATAGGAGATTTGAAGGGTAAATCAAAGAAGCAATGCCCCTTCCTCCACACCGAGATAGTTACATCCCTTAGGAGGGTAGAGCTCAAAAAACACAATGTAGTCCTGACCACAGGAGGGAGGTAGAATCGCCACAACTTAACAAATAAAAGGGCAACTCTATTTAGGGGGCCACGTAGGAACCAGTGGTGGTATCCTATTCTACCCAAAGGCCTCAAACCTTGTTCAATTTATGGGGACAGCCATGAAACTGGTAGGCGACTTTATAAAGCAGAACAACAGAGTCGATCGTGGCTTTCCAGAAATCTAAGGTAGGTGGCTGCTCAGACTTCCATTTCATGACCATAGCTCTCCTGGCAAAAAACAGCACTAATGGAAGGAAAGTTCTGGTAGCTCGTGTACATGCTAGCAGGTTTACCAAGCCCAAAAGACAGTTCTCCACCTTCAAGGGAATATAGATTGGGGTTTGGGAATAAGAAAAGTTTGTGACCTTAGAC